TTCTCTTTTCCTTTCCTTAAAACAATTCATAGTAAAAATAATCATTAATTAACTTGGGGTATTATTTAGTACGTGCCCACAATTTAATTTTAAAGTTTTCCTTATTGCTATCAGATTTGAATGATAAGAAAAATTACAGCAATCACTTTTTCTGAAATAGACATTACCCATATTATGATTAAAGTAATAATCTGTAACAAAGTTATTTCATCTGTAGACCTCATGCATAATCAAATACACTGTAATCTGTAGTGGCTGATATACACATGTTGATCTGATAATGTTATAAACATTTGTATTCTAGTCTCATGTCATGCTGGGAGAAAACAGTTATTGGGAGAAGCTTATGCCAGGGACCCTGAAGTTAACTCCTTAAAATATGATGTCTCACATTGATCTCTTCCTATAAATCTATGGTTACAGCTTGTGTTAAAAATACTTCCTTCATAAATGTTCACAGGGAAAAATGAGAAAACATGGAGTAAGGTATACATTTCAGTTTTCATGTAGACAAGTAACAGTGCAGAAGTACTAGAAACCTTGTCCACCTGCCAACAAAATATACTCTTGAAAATGATGAGCTTCATACAGAGATAATAGAGCAGAAGCCAACTGGGTGATTTACTGATAGCTTAACATCTCATCACCAAGTGATCGAGTTCTAATTTGCAGAAAATCTTGTTTCTAAAAATGCTATTATTTTTCCAAAATAGTTGTACTTGTTAATTGTACAATACTGTAAACACACAATCTTTTCTGTGGATAGAACATGCCTTCAGAGATGCTTAATTAATAAAATATATAAGACCTGAAATCTATATGTGAGTTCATCCTCACAACCCACAGCATGACTCCTAACCAAGAACTGCAATGATTCTCCAACATTGTCCTTCCATTTACCTGAATCGAGACAATCTTCGGTGATTAAAAGTATTCCATTTTATAAGCTCCCTATATTTATTTTTTAGGTTTTGTTTATTCAATTTTATGTGTGTGAGTGTATTGCCTTCACGTATGTAAGTGCCCCTGTGTCAATGGCATGCCCTGCGGAGGTCAGAAGAGGGCATTAAGTCCTCTGGAACTGGACTAACAGACAGTTGTTAGTTGCCATGTGGGTGCTAGGAAACAAACCCTGGTCCTCTTCAAGAGCAGTCAGTTCTCTTAACTGCTGAGTCATCTCTCCAGCCTCTGCTTCCTATATATCTTATAAAGAAGTTTAATTGGAGTTATCCTACACAGAGGATCCTGTTCCTTCTATAAGCCACAGGTTTCAGTCCAGTGCCAGATGCCAGGTGTGAGAGGATATCTTCCCTCTAGTTGTTGGTCAGGGTGTCCCAGAGACTCCCCAAAACTGTATAGGTTATTGTCACTGCTCTTGGTTGCCCACCAGGAAGTGAGTTTAAGACCTTACTGCTAAAGATACCACATACTTTGGTCATAGGACATGGAGATATCAAGTTGGTACTGACCAGGAAACTTCTTCCCTTCGAGCATTCACAGTACTGGAAGGTGCTAGGTAGGTAGAGAAAAGGTCATCAACAGTCTGTTCCAGCTGTGTACTCTGTGAGCTACAATAATGAGTATGGGAGTAACAGTGGCACAAATGTCATAGGGGTAGCCAATCTCTCTATAATTGAATTTAGGGCCCTGATCCACAGGAGGAAACACAAGCCTGGTACTATAAATCTGACCTAGAACGCATGGTTGGATAGCTCATGTGCCTCAGAGGTGAGCCTACTATGATCATAGTGCAAAATGGACACAGCATCAAACCTCTTTCTAAATTCCTCTCTCTGTACAATATCCACAGATCAGTGAAGCTCTCAAACCTCGTCAGAGAGGTTTCTTTACAGTAGATGGTGGTTTATACAGAAACTCATAGTTGGTCAAAGTACAGAGAGGAGGTGTCTGTAGACTGCTTAGCCACAAATGCAGTATCTGTATCATCCTCCTCTTTCCAAGGCTTCGGGACTAGTGTAGAACAGACAGTGGAAAGATTGTAAGAGTCAGAGGTCAGGAAGGATTGGAACAAGTGTCTTCTGGACATGCCAGGATCACTGTACCCATAAACTCACAGTAGCTGGGTTGCCTGCACAAGCCAGTCAACATTCTAGCATGGAGGGAAAGGGTCTCATCAGCCCCCGACCCTATCTGAGGAGCTATTGACAGCTGGTCTGTCCTGGAGGAGGAAAGAATCAGTTCTCTGTAAGGGCGTGGGCCCTGCTGAGGTGACCGTGTTCAATGGATGGCCCACAACAATAAGCAGCACAAATTGGACTCAGCAGATTATTTTTTAACAATAGAAATGGTGGGGGTGGGTCTGAGAGGAGTTGGGGGAAGAGTGAGGGTGAATGAGATAAAACACAGTGTATGCATGCATGAAATTTTCAGAGAATTAAAACAAATATTATATTTTTTTATTCCAAAAATATTTCTTCCCAAATTAAATTAGCTTCTGGAGTGAGTATTCTAAGATTTCCATTTAATTCAAAATTAATTTTGAGCTGGAGAGACGGCTCAGCAGTTAAGAACACTGACTGTTCTTGCAGAAGACCCAGGTTCAAATCCCAGCACCCACATGGCAGCTAACAACTGTCTGTAACTCCAGTCCCAGGGGATCCGACAGCCTCTTCTGTCCTCCGTGGGCATTGCATGTCACAGGTGCACTTACCTACCTACAGGCAATACATGCATACACATAAAATAAAAATAACAAATAAACAAAAATTTTTTAAAAAGAAGTAAATCCCTTTCGTTTCAGTGATTTATGATGATCCGCTCTACAAACAGTTGGGTTCAAAGCACTAAACAATCAAATTAACTTCTTAAAATCTATAACACTGATAAAAATATAAAATCAATTTTAAATGTTGTTAAAAATGAAAATGAACTTTACATAAATTTTTAGAAGACTTGGCCTATAACTCAGTGGTAGAGTGCATGCCTAGTGTACGTAGGTAGAGCACAGGCCTGGTGTGCATAGGTAGAGCGTGGGCCTGGTGTGCAAGGCCCTGGGTTTAATTGTCAGTTCTGAAAAGAGGGAAGGAGAAAAGAAAGTAAAGGAGGAAAGAAGGGAGGGGAGGAGAGAGGAAAGCAAATAAATTCTTTACAAAATATCTTTAAAAGTACGCTTCTGATGAAAAGCATATAGTAAGGAAAACCCAATAAATATATGTCGAACAATCAAATTACATTTAGTGTCTTTGGTAGCTCAAATATTTCTGGTCTAGAACAATTTACCTTGGCCCGAAGACTAAGCTAATGTTAATACAATAATCCACTGCTCCATCATAATATTTAGATTCCATTGTACTATGATAAAAACAGTAATTTTTCTATATAATATTACATTTAAAATTAAAAACACCAAACCTGTGCCATATGAACTACAGAAATTAAATAGGTATCACTATCCCCTTACTCACTGAGAAATGGATTTGATGGAACTGGAAGTTAAACCAATGACTTCTCATTTTTAATGACTGGACAGATTTTAACCTCTATAAGGAAACAGTAGAAAAGAAGGCCAGTTGTCAGAGATTCTAGAGGAAATACTGACACCAGCCTTATCTCACAGACTTTCAGGAGACCGAAATGTTATTTTTCTACATAGAAAGTGAACAGAGCAGCACACAGCACCTAACACTCTGGGGGAGCCTGTGTTGGGTGGGACAGAGGATCTACGAGGGCAGATGTAACCACATTCCAGAAGTGCCACCTGGAATCAGCAGGTCTGCGGCCAGGAAACACTGCCACCGAGACTCACTGTGATGCTGCTAGACATGAGAAAGAGCTACTTGCCACATACTCATACATTAGTCCTACATCAGCTTTCCACAAGCTAGAAAGGTAGAAATTCAGGAAAGGAGCTAGAAACTTCCTGGTATCTCACCAGGTGACCTTACAGGCCAATGCATTTGAACATATAGATTTCAGATCACATCTGGATTATTTGAAATTATTGTCAGACACATACTCTAAGAAGTATTACCCACTGGATGTTCACCTGTCTGCTGCATAGCATTGCCTACTCATTTCCCACTTTGTAGACATGAAATCATACAAAGGTTTTATTCTCTACTCCATGCTAAAAGAGCAAAAATGCAGATTTATAAACCTGTCATCAAAATACCTCCTGGATGACAAACAGTATTTGACAGATGATAGCAAAGATATTTGAAACACTATAATTAACTAGGGAAAAAATAGGCTTAATGCAATAAAAGCTAAATATCCTATATAAATAACCATAAAATAATATGTGAAATCTATAATTTCCAATACTTTTGTAGTCAGCTTCATTTTGATTCTGATATGAATCCTTCATAAGATTTTCATTTGTACAATGTGTAATGGATTTACTGAACTTACCTAATGAAGTAGTATCCTATAATTTTAAAATTAATTATGTCTAACAGCAAAGCAAGAATCATCTAGACACCTGTGAAAGCAGTTCAGTCATTAGTGATCCCCATCGACCTGCTGTGGACAGCAGACAGGACCAGTGTTCGGCAAGAGTGGATGAACAGGGACAGGTGGTGGTGGATCTGTGGTGCTAACATGGACACTTAAGCGTTGTACCCACACAATGGTAGTGGAAGGCAATATTAATCAGTCTTAACCAGTCAACAACCAAGGTGGCCAGTTGTGTGCATAATCCCATTTCACCTTGACTTTGAGTAATATAAACAGAGGCAGAATTTCTTAAATACAAAGCTTTAAATTCCAAAAGAGAGAGAGGGTGTATTGAAGTCGACTCAGGCTTCCAAGTCTGCTGGACAGTAGAACAGATACCTCTAAGCTGGTATCCAATCTCTAGTGACCAATCAATGACGTCTACCATTGTGCTAAGCAAGATGCTTTCATCACCACATCTTAAATTAAAAGCTTTCATTTTAGCAAAGGAATGTGAAAGCATAAATCTTCCCAATGGAAATGTCACAAGTGTAACAAATTGATGTTCAAAACATAAAATCCCTCTATGTTCAGCCATCACTGACCTTCTGTTCCAAAAGCAATGTGTTTGTAGGAATTGCTGCAAAAGCCTTGTAGCTTGACTTGGTCTTGTATGGCTAGAATGGATAACCAGAAAGTGAGAGTGGAGATCAAATGGAAGCATATAACATGACTTTAGGCACCTCTGCCAAGCTGCGTGACACATTAGCAGAGGACGCAAAGGGTTATCATGCTTCAACAACTTGTTTCTGACAAAAACATTAGTTCATTGGGTTAATATTTTGTTAGACTGATAAGCCAATAAATACCACAATGACATATTAGCCTACAGATAGCAGGCAATTATACACTATTCAGATTTATGACTTAAAACATCTATTTCGACAAAGTTGAATATAAATTTCTCACTAGCTGCATTCTTTCTGTTGGGTTCTCGATAGACTATTTTTCTTTTTATATTGCCATTGTTAACAAATAGATCAATAAATTTAATTGAGCTATTGATACATTTTTGCATCGTTCATAAAACAAAGATTAGAATTCATACAATTTAGCATCAATTTCAGGTTGTTATTGTTTGAATCTTTTTGAGACAAGATCTCTCTATACAACCCAAGGCATCCTTGAACAAATATGCACCCCAGACTTCAGTCCTGCTTCAGGCTCTCAAGTGGTAGAATTATGCACCCCAAACCTGGCTAACAGCAGTTTTAACAAGCAGCAACACACTCTATAACCTTAATAGAAGCAGTGTCAAAAATTTAACACTGTAGTGGAAAAAGAAGCCCAAGCTCCTGATCCTAAACTCATTTTTCTTATCATTAATGGTTGTCCTTTTTAATTTAGTTGAATTAACAAGGTTAACAGAAGACATCCTGAGTTTTGAGTCAAACTTAGAGTTTTGTGAGCTGCTTGGAGAGAGAGAGGTGAGCATAAGGAAGTTGTAGGAACTGGGATAAAATGTAAAATCAAAGGTCCAGGTTTGGATATCATTCTGATCTCAAGCTGACTGGCTAAGTTCAGGGCTCCTATCACACCAACGGCCTGTTTGAGGCAGCTTCCCCAGTGGCTCAGAGTCAGCAGGGAACAGGAACAGAGAGGACTCCAAGCTGCCTCAATTCCTTGAAATGCAAACCAAAGGGTTAACCGTTGAAGACTGGGGATATCAAAATTAAACATTGGATTGCATGGAGGTAATCAAAGTAAATTTTGTTAAATGGGTCTGATGAAGCTTAGTGGCTGGGATGGCCATTTTCCAGGGAAGAAGCAGGAGAATAAAATGTCTATGCCAGACCCCAAGGAAGAGCAGCAGCGTCTGGCTGACGGCACAGACCCTTCTCTTCCTGCTGCTTTTCTTTTCCTTCTCTTTACTGTGTTAGATACCATGAAATTAGCAACCCAAGGTCGGATGTCAGAAAATGACACAGAAGGCCACCTTAGCGTGTCAGCCATAATCCTCACTTACATATACTCACACACAAACACACATTTAAATGCACACATAAACTCACACATACTTATACACATATCTGCACTCTCATGCAAATATGCAAGCCCACTCAACAAAACACACAAGATCTCTGAAGCTACGCACTTTGATCATCAGGGAATAAATTCTGCTTATTTGCTACTTTCGCACCCTCAAAGCCACTTTGCCATGATAAGCAGCTTTGTAACCTTCTGCAAGCCCTAGCTTTTCTGGGTCCTGTACTCCTTCTTGGCCAAGTAGGATACACAAGGTCCCTTCCATCCCTATTGTTTGATCCTGCACTGATCCTCAGTGCTGTCACCTCTAGACTAACAATGTATCTGGGTGAGGATTTAAAATACAAAGTCATTTCTTCATCAGTAACAGGGAAAATTAGACCCATTTACAGAAACCCTGAAGCCAAAGATTCATAAGGAAAAGCAGAGCTCACACGACATGTTCTAGACTTTGAGTATGATCTCTAATTTCAGCTTCATAAGAGTCTCACTGTAAACCATGAAGATGATAAATTTTATTTTCTAAAATATTTTACTATTTTTATGTGTATGAGTGCACTGTTTGAATGTAGGTAGGTGCACCCATGTCGTTCAGTGCTGCAGCAGTCAGAAGAGGATGTGAGATCCCCTGGAACTGGAGTTACAGAGGGTTGTTAATCACCATGTAGGTGCTAGGATTCGAACCCAGGTCTTCTGCAAGAGTGTTCAGTGCTCTGAACTGCTGAGCCATTTCTCAGGCCCAAGATAAGAAAGTTTATATTATCTGATGAACCACTTTTGTTAAATGTGTCATTCTTTTAAATGTTTTATTTATTATTATTATTTTATGCATATAAGTGTATTGCCTGTATGAGTGTAAGTGCACCCATGTAATGCAATGCCTATGGAGGCCAAAAGAGAACATCTTACTCCTGGAAGTGGAGTTGCAGACAGTTGTTAGCTGTAATGTGGGTGCTGGGAATTGAACCCAAGCCCTCTGCAGGAGCAACCAGTGCTTTTAACCACTGAGCCATCTCTCCAGCCCCCAAAGTGTGTCGTTTTTATCATTATTCAAGAGAGTGATGACAGGAAACTCTTGCTACAAGGTTCTCTCAGTGTGCTAGAAACTAGCATATCCTATAACTCCTCCTGGTTACAGAAGTCAGCCAACACATTCATTCAAAGTACCAACAAATAGCTACTGGATGATATTCAGTGGTACTCTAAGACATGGCCTCGTCCTTTCAGCCTGAGAACCATGCTTATCGCCCTCAAAGATACTTTTCAGATCCACTGTCTTTTCTCTGAATTTTCTTGGCAATGCTGTTGGATTCAAACATGGCGTTTTTAATTTTGATTTGGAACATCTGTCTTCTCATCCCAAGCTTCCAGAGGCTAGGTCAAGTTGACTGGTTTCTTTCTTTGGTGTAAACTAAATAGCATTACAAGAATCACCATGAGCAGAGCCAAAGCTGGCTCAGTGGGAAAAGTGCTTGACATGCAATTCTGTTTGATCACATCCCTGGAACCCACATACTGGGTAGAAAGAGAAAATAGACTCAAAGAAGTTGTCTTTTGACTGTCATATGTGTGCAACACACACACACACGCACACATCATACACACATGCATACACAATTATAATAATCTTTTTTGGTCTTTTGAAACAGGGTCTCCTTGTAGCCCCAGCTGATCTGAAAATAGCTATGTAGACCAGGCTGGCCTTGAACACACAGAGATCAGCCTGCCTCTGCCTCCCGATTAAAGGGAGGTGTGCGCCACTGTTGTGGAAAATCTTGTGACTGATTTTTGCCTTTTGCCTTACATACCTATCATGATGGAATGCATTGCTTCTAATAGGGCATCTGGCCCGCTAGAGTGTAATAGGATACTAGTCTGTCATACTAATAAGGAATCCCATATGCTGTGTTGTGATTAGACTATTACCCTTATATAAGCCCGTACTTTCTGGCAATAAAGCAGATCTGTGTCACTGAACCTGGTCTCCTATGCCTGAATGCGGCGACGCTGGTGCAGACTCCTCACCAGCCCTGGGGTCTGGACCAGACGACTGATCAAAGGAACTAAGAGAGCAGGAGAGCGGCCATAGCCGGAGGAGAGCAGCCACAGCCGGCGACCACACACCACCATTCCCAGCTTTATCTATAATAATTTTTAAATAATTATCATCACCTATTCATAGACAGTAGAAATGACCGGCCCTAAGTGGCTTTCTGAAGCTGGCAATGACATCCATTGTAGAGCTGCAATTTGTAATCTGTATTTTGAGTTAAGATTCAACAAATATTTCCTAAATATATTCTATACAGTAGAGGGCGACCTGTAGGCTTAGAAAAAAAAAAATAGACTGCATAATTCTTTGCCAGGACTAATCCTATATCGGCATTGTTAGTTCCTGCCATATAAATGCTGACTATAATGTTCATGATGATAACAAGAACACATCCTGGCCCTTCAGAAAACATTTTCCCATCGCTACCTTACTTTCCGTAGTCAATGCCTACAGTTCCACAACAGAATCCAGTAATAAAAGGCCCACAAGCTCTCAAGAATAATCTAGTTTAGATGGCTTGAGAATAAAGGATTTTGATTTACGTTTATACTTTCAGGTAAATAGAAGTACCTCAGATTAGCAACAGGTTGAAAGCCATTATAAACCGTAAAAGAAATACCAGTGACTTGAGTGAGTGGAATCTGACTTCCGGCTCCTCTCCCTTTGACCAGCTCAGCATCCCCTTCCTCACTTCATGCCCCATATCAATCAAGCATTCAGGCCTTGGGGCTTTTTCCTCCTTACGCCCCCTTAAAAAATCAACTCCTGCATTATACCTCATAGTACCTCTAGCCATCCAATATAAATTTGTGACAATGTTTCATGTCCTGTTGTCCTTAGTGGGCTATATTTTTTGCCATACCACTCTTGACCATCTAACAAGATAATTGACTTTAAATTTGGAAAATTTAATGATTGTTTCTCTCCCACCAATGTATATAAACTTTCTTTGAGAAGGCATTTTTACATGTTTTATTCATTGTGCTGTTTACATCTGTAAGAATTACATATTCAATACTCAATGCATATTTATTGAGCCATTGACCCAGATTTATTTTTTTTTTAGCTCACAGAGATATATTTCCTATTGCTTATTTCCCAAATTATATTTGGTTTTATAAAAATGGAGAAAGTCACATACTTCCTGCTATACTAAACTTCCAATATAACATAATTAGAGATGTTTCAGTGCCTTAAAGGAATGAGTTTAGTAGAACCCTGGCTACGAAATCTCATGAAGTAACAAAAGCTCCCAACTGATTCTATAAACAAGATATGAGTTCAAATAGCTTTAAGCCAGACCACAGAAGCACTCATTTGGAAGAGATTTGAGACCATCTTTAGTGAGTATGAGATTCTGATGTAGCGATCACTCCAATTTCTATATCATGATAACTCACTTGGAGAAACAAAATTAAACTAGTTCATAAATGAAGACCAAATATACTGGGAACTCAAAAACAAGACTTTGGGTGAATTTTGTATTCCCCTTCTTTCCCAGAGGAGAAAACTATCTCAGATAATACAAATATTGGCCCTCAGCAATATTCAGGGAGATAGATGTTCAAGCTTTCCAGGTTCATGATTGTGATTACAAAACAAAATATTTTAAAGCTACATCTGAAATTAACATATCAGTTATATCATACTAATGTGATGCAATTCTCCCAGTGAAAAAGGAACATTGTACATGATTTATATCTGAATTTAGCTCAGCATACTCTGGCTTTTATGTTTTATTTTAATATCAAAGGATAGTAAGGCCCAGACTTTGAACTAATTTCCTTCAAATATTTCTGTTTCCACTTGATGACCATTTGCGCTCAAGGACCCCTGTCCTTTTGGGATCTGGGAGAGAGTGAAACTGAAATAAACCTGAAGATCTTCAACTTCAAAAAGAGCCCAATGTTTGATTAGCACCACCCTGGGCAAAGCAATGCAAGAAACAACTCATGAAAGCATGTGAATTATTTGATATTGTAGAGCCTCTGCCTATTTCCTCCCCTCATTCTATAAAGTAATCAACAATGTACACAAAGCAGTCAAATTCAAAACAAGGTTCAATTTCAGTTCATCTCCTGGCAATTTGAATGATTTTTTATACCCAAGTTTCCTGATAATGATAGTTCATAATAATAGTGAGTTGATATTCTAGTTTTAAACTAGAAAGGCAATATAGTTAAGAAAAATAGGAACTAAACATGAAAATGAGTAATATGTCTCAGCGAATCTTTTCTGTAGAAGTTATGAATTTGTGTAGTAAGAAACTTTTTCCATCAAAGGAGTGATTAATATTTTTTCTGGTAGGTAAATAATTCTCGTTGCTATTTTCATGGTCATCAACTTCAGCATACACAGCCATAAGACAATTTTAACTTAAGGATCAGAAATAACAGAAATAAATTAGCTAGTGCTGAAAGTCTTCAAAATTGAGACCAGGAAGAGAGCAGAGCAAAGTACGTCCTCAGCAATTTATCAGAAGCCTTGTGGACGCACTCTCCTCTGACTCCAACTACACCCACAACAGGATGAAGTATGGACAAAGCACAGTGAACCACAAGCAGAAGCACTGAACATGCTGCTGGTGAGAAATAACTTTCCACAAAGGGTGAGGAGTAATTTAAGTATCTTTTTATAGCTGGTAAGCATTAAAGAATTCTCAGGAGCAGGGTATGGGGATGCATGCCTGCACTGTGGAGGCTGAAGCAGGAAGAGCAGAAGTTCAAGGCCACCCTGCTACACAAGGAGACCCAATTGTAAATTTTTTTTTAAAAAAAACTCAACAGAGTTCGGAAACGATAACGGTTAAATCAACAATTTTTAGTATACAAGATGCAAATTTCATAATCATTCATTCATGTTGAAAAGTTAAAAAAGAAAAGATCATTTTACCTAAATCGATAGGGATTTTAAATGGAGAATTATAGGAAAAGTTAAATGTTATCAACTTCATTTGCTTTCAAAGTTTAAAATATGAAGTTATTTAATGTCTTAAAATACATTTTAATGACCCAAATAAGCTATAAGCTGAAAGTTCTGATCATTATTTCATAATAAAGATTTCCTTTATAATTACTACAAAGTCAGGTTAAGTTGATAATTAGAGTCACTTCTTCATATTAGTAAATCATAGTTTAAGAAAGAACATGACTTTAAGAATTAGTATACTTAAATTTTTATAAATGTCAGCTCTATACCAGACATGTAACCTATAAACATGTAGCATATACAAAATGGGGCTGGCAACCTTACTAACCTCATATGGTTATAAAATAAACCATATATTTTAATTAATTTTAGTTATTTTGAGTACCACACTTGATTTATAGAAATCATTTGACAATGGCAGGTCTTGTCATCATTATTATTGTTCAATGATAAAGCAAACTATTCTCTGTTTCCAGAGTCTTTCAGGTTACCTGTGTATTTGGTGAGGTTGTTTCCCATTTTTAAAATGCCAACTCCTTTCCTCTTCATTAATGCAAATCCTAAACATTTCTGCCAACCTTGACATTTATAATAAATTTCTTCACTAGCTACATCCCATAGTAATGCTCCTGTTATATTGAACTCAGTCAACAATTACCTTATTTTTAGTATGAACTACAAAATGTTAATATTTTTCTCATACAGCCAGTCTTTGTATCCATACTTTCCATATAGATGCAACCAAAGGTGGATTTAAAATATTTGAAAAAATAGTGTCAGTGCTTAACACGCTCAGACTTTTCTCTTTTATCATGCCCTAAATAATACAGTATAACAGCTATTTACATTCTATTTATATTTTATTGGGCATTATAAGCAATTTAGAGATGATTTAAAGAATATGGGACTTTTCATAAGTTATATAAAAATACCAACATGTTTTATTTCTGTAGCCTTATCTTCATCTTCTGGTAATAACAGACTTAAAAGAATTCCCTGTGGGACTCCAAAGCTGTAGGACTACAGAATTTCAGTAGGTTGAATCGAAAAGTCCCACCTACTTCTAATATTGGCACTTTTGTAATTTTATTTTGTTCACGTAACAGCTACCAGGCTCTGTGCATAAAGGATCCATTCTTGAGTTCTTTGAGAATAGATGGGAAGCTGTCATGCCCTAGAGTGTGGAGCTGTCTGCTGGACTGTGAAGTCACTGTTCAAGCCCTTTCCCTCTGAGGTTGAATGAATGCTGTTTTCACAGCCACGTTCAACAGATTGCTTCAGAGCACTTAAAAGCCAGCATTTCTTTTCTCTTAATTCTATTTCTTCTTACCTAGCTTGTTCATTCTTTCTGTGGTGCTTGTAGTAAATTAAACAATTTTCACATATAAAGGAAATTTCCATTCCCCTTTTGCCCTACATGTATAGAGCAAAGTCCAAATTGATTCATCTGTAGCTTGGGGAAGAATAAAAAACATCAACCTTGTAGGATAGAAAAAATAATTAACCATTATTACTGAACATGGGCAAGGAAAGAGAAAATTTTCAAATGATTTTTCTGTATCATGAGCCTAGATCTATGGTACTTTATACTAATCCTATCTGCTATCTATGCTGTCAGTGCAAGGGGTTTTGATCGCTAATAGGGTCCTTCTTATTAAGTAATCAGGCACGTATCATATTGCAAAATCTCAAGTAGCTGTTTTTAATTCTGTAATTGGGACCAATGCTCTAACTCATATAATGTCTGGGAAAAATGTCCTTGGAGTCACACATCAGAGGATGAATATAATTATTGAATTTTCCCTCAAAAGAAGATTTTTACATATTTCAAAATAAACATGCAACATGCAAAAAAAAATACCTTGGGTTTCTTATTTTCAGGGCCTGTTGGCATTGACAATGCCCAAGGTGTAATCGGCTCCTTGGTTCTCGTTAGAGAGACAGGAAATGATGGGGCTGAAACAGGTGAGCTGTGGTTGGATATTGAGCTTTCGGACTTGCCGATTCTTGATGGAAATGTGCCACTGCCACTATTTGGATACAGGGCTGAAGGCCTAGGCTGGCGTGCCTGGGTGGGCACGTTATCAGAAGGGAGAATGGATAGCCCCAAGCTGGGAAAGGAAGCAGAGCTAGCATTGGAGACGGCCGAAGGAACCGTAGAAGGGCTCGGCCCCGGGCCTGAATGCTGCTGAGAGCAGGCTCTGTTAGATCGATCCATCAGGCTTGAGAGGGCTGGGGAAGGATGGAAACGCTTCTCCAGAGAAGGAACTGCAGTGCTCTCGCTAACAGGAGATGCAGGAGGTAATGCAGTCGCAGCTAGCGCAGAAGTGTGTGTGGACACATCCTTGGGCTTTTCTGGACCCCTGAGGGCGCCGTCCTGTCTGTCCTTGGAGGAACAAAGAGAGGAAGAGCTTGGTGTGACAGGAGGAGCATCTGCAGAACTGAGTGCGCTGCCTTGTAGCAGGGCAGTCACTGGACTCTTCAATGTTCCTGGCTCTGTCTTCTGTACATTCAAAGAAGCAAAGCTGCTCAAGGCGGGTGCTGGAGGAGAAAGGGGGTGCACCTGAGAAAGCGGGGTAGACCCAGGAAAGTGAGGCAGGCAGCGGGATTGCTGGGTCCCCGCAGAAGTCTGCGGTTCTTGCTCTGGAGACCCGAATCTCAAGGAGCAACTTGAGAGTGATTTTTTAGGTGTGGGTGGGGTTTGCTTTGCTTTCTGATCAAGTGTGAGAGTGGAAGAGGCCAGGGAGTTGAGAGTGAAGGTGGGGCAGGATGCAGGGGACAGGGGTCTTTGGTGAGAAGGGTTTGACCTGAGCATAGCAGTGAGGAGGGAAAGACGCGAGGGCACTGGCGATTTCACCCCTGACCTTGAAAGATTTCCCGTGGAGGACGTTTGGCCACAGAGCGCAGACAGGGAGCCTTGGAGAGAGGAGGTGAGTGGCTGGGGACTTGGAGACAGTGCGTGCATGACAATGCGGACTGGGATGTAGGAGGCTGGAGGAGACTTCACAGAAGCAGCAGGAGCAGGTGAAGGACTGGTTCTCGAACTTTCCCTGTGACTAAGGCTGTGCGGAGTAGCCGTCGTCTTCCCTGTTTCAGAAGCCAGGCCACGTGATGGATCAGCTGCTTTTGGACCCCGGGAACTAGGACCTGGCAGTTGAGTGGAAGGGGAAAATGGCAGTGTCGAAGCGCCCTTCCACGTAGGAGGACAATCATGAGCTGCAGTGTGGACGTACGCAGCCGTTTCTTCTACCACCGCCCCACTGACGTCCAGCCTCCCCGTGCAGAACTCCTCTAGCACAGAAACTCGGCTGAAGTTAGCTGGGCCCGGTGGCAGTTTCTGATTAGTTGTGGAAACAAAGGAGAAAGCAGGTGGTTTACAGGCAAGCTGCTCAGAGGTAGTGGGAGAAGTTAGCTGGAGGAAAGAAAAATAGATTGAAATAGTACCTGACTTCCGAAACTGACCAAACTCTTTTGGCTGTGTGCTTGTGCAAACAGTTTTTCTATTAGTTTACATGAAATGAGGCACTTTAAACCTCCATTAAAAATGGAGATTATGCATCTAATGAGACATTGCTTTGAATTTGAAATAAGACATAAACTGTCAAGTTTTGTATCTCATTTAATCCAACACAAAATTTGTTTCCCTATTTCCACTTTGAAAATAATTCGCTGACAATATTTAAAATAATTGTCCTAATTTGGAATTGTGTGATTTGAAAAGATTTAAGTCAACATCACTTTAAATTTCAATTTGGAAAAATGAAATCTATTTCTTCCATTATAAGGATATAAACCATAATGTAATGGTAATGATTAGAATCCTAAAAAATTAATATATTTCAATTCCTTAAAATTCTAACACTTGGACTGCATACTCCTACATAATGTGAACCTGAAAAAAGTGCCCAGAATTCAGCAGCAACACAGAATAATAAATTGAGAGAGTGAACAGGAACTCCAAAAGAGAGGGAATTTTAAATTATTTTCCCTAATCACCTTCCAGAATGAGCCAGTAGCAGTCACACTTAATGGACGTTTAGCCAGCGCTTTGGGTCCTGCTGGAAGCAATAGGCTTGCTCATCAAAAGAAGCCGCAGTACTTCATGATCCACTTGAAACTAGGCAACTGCCAATTCCACACCAGATTATAATTTTATATAAGCATGTGAAATAGGAGTTATACATAGTCTCACACCATTTAAAGTCATCCAGAATTTAAGACAAATTCTGAAATCATGCTAAATTTTTAAGCAGAGATTTTTAAATTATTGATTATATTCTATCAGACTAAAAATACAAATATGCATTCCTAGTGAATTTGGGAAATATCAATCAATCAAAATGGTAATTGAAGTTGAGGTATACACACACACACACAGCATTAAGCGTATAGCAGAAAAATGTATATAAACATCAATTAAATTAGCAAAATGTTGGTTTGTAGAGTAAAAAACATTTTTTAAAGTTTCGTTTAGATAATGTTGATAAGATTTATAACATCAAATGCAAAGGCATATATGCCGTGTAATTTTGAACTATAAAACCATTTAAAATTGACAAATTCAAATATATCATCCAAAACTCTTTATTCCTGATCACATATACACAAAATTGTCCTTTTATAGCTATGAAGATCAGCAAGGAACTTTTGCACATAAATAATATGTGAATATACTCACACAGTCCAAAATATCAGTCAGTGATAATTGAAAATCAAGAAGAATTCAATCAAATTGAGAAAAATTAATAATTCCCATGCAGTTTTACTTAGAGACAATACTGCTTAGCTACTGTTTATTGAGCTGATTCATACAGTTGGGGAGTATATTTAAATTAAACATCACTAACTGTGCAACATAATGTTTCTGTTACTAAAAGAGTGACATTTTGTTTAATGCTAAGGAATCTGTAGTTGAGTTGGTATTTAATGTTAAGTCATTCTCTCAGAGTTACTATACATTCAGGACCTCTGTGTTTATGTGTGTGTGTATGTATGTCTCTATGTGTGTGTCTATGTGTATGTGTCTGTGTATGTGCATATCTATGCCTATGTGTGTGTATGTGTGTATGTAGGGATTATGTGTGTGCATGTGTTTGGGTCTGTGTATGTCTCTGTGTATGTGCGTATGTGCATGTGTGTGCATGTATGACTGTACATATTTCTGTGTGTATATCCATGTGCATGTGTGTATGCATGTGCATGCATGTGTTTAGTATATGTGTGTACATGTATATGTGTGTATGCATGCTGTGTATGTGCTATATGTGTATGCATGTGTTCATTGTGTATGTGCACATTTGTGTATGTGTACATGTGTGTATATGTATATACATGTGTATAGGTGTGCATGTATATATGTATGTATATGTGTAGGTGCATGTATGCATGTGTGTATGTGTGTATATGTATATATTTGTCTGTTGTGCATGTTCCTGTTGTATATGTTGGGTATGTATATGTTGTGTGTGCTTTGTATGTATGTGTGTGTGTACACATATGTGTGCCTTTGTGTACATTTGTACATAATATTATGTATGTGTCTATGTGTTTTTGTGTGTCTGTGCATATGTGTATTTGTGTGTATGTGTGTTATCTATGTGCATGTGTGTCTGTGCATGTGTGTATTTGTACATATGTGTACATGTGTATTATCTATGTGCATGTGTGCCTATATGTGTATGTGAGTGTGTTAACCATGAAACGTCCTCCCTAGTTGTTTCCATGACCAGTCTCTTTTCACAAGAACAATGGGGCCATTTCAAGGCTGCACTCCATGTCTTTGCACATATCTAGAAAACCTGCTTGGTAGAGATGTTTGTAAGTTACCAACTGCCACAAGAATCCCACTATATTTCAGTCATGCTGTTTCCTAATAGCTTGAATATATGCAAAAAAATGTTAATTTATCTTGATTATTTACCAAATTACCATGTGTTCCTAGTTTCTAGGTGTCATTCAGAGAAAAAGGCCTCCCTACAACTTCCTTAATATGATGACTTTTTAAAAAAAATAATGAATAAAATATATTTTAAAGCTACGGTTGGAACACACAACAGTTTATCCAATAAGCACTTACATCCTTCTTTCAAATCTGCTTTTATTAAATTTCATTGTATTTCATACAGAATATCTCGACTTTTAATTCCCAAACATTTTACTATATTAAATGATATTTTTCTAATAATTACTCAGAATTTTATCATGTATTTTAAGAGCTGATTATTGATATTGAGGAAACTGAGAAGTCTAAGAATATTTATTAGCTTATTTTGATCTGTGTACAATTTTATTTATATTTTCTGGTTGGTATATTTATAAGTATCTGCAGTATATTCACTGACAATTTGGAAATGCACCATAGTGTTATTCCTACACTAACATAGAAGAGAGGCACCATAATTTTATATAATTTCTAGAGAGAAGGGGCTTGTTTTTAATAAAAAATATTCACTTTTGAAGGCTGGAGAGATGGCTCAGTGGTTAAGAGCACTAGCTGTTCTTGCAGAAAACCGTAGGTAAGTGTACCCGTGTCATGCAATGCCCACGAAGGACAGAAGAGGCTGCTGGATCCTCTGGGACTGGAGTTACAGACAGTTGTTAGTTGTCATGTGGGTGCAATTTGAATCCCAGCACCCACACAGCAACTAACAACAAGTCCATAACTCCAGTTCCAGGGGATTCAACACTCCTGTATTCCATGGGCACTACACAACATGGGTGCATTTACACACATGCAGGCATAACACTCATATCCCTAAAATAAACATAAATAAATAAGTTTTTAAAATATTTTATTATTTTATATTTTTTTATATGTATATTGCATGTAAATGCACCTGTGTGCACACAATGCCCACAGAGATCAGAAAAGGGTGCTAGATCCCCTGGAACTAGAGTTACAGATGGTTGTTAGCTGCCATGTGGATGCTGGGCACCAAACCTGGGTCCTCTATAAGAGCAACCAGTGCTCTTAACTGCTGAGCAGTTGTTAGTTGTCATGTGGGTGCTGGGATTTGAACCCAGGTTTTCTGCAAGAACAACCAGTGTTCTTAATCACTTAGCCATCTCTCCAGCCCATAAATAAGTTTTTTAAATTCACTTTCTTGAGTCCATATTATTTTTAAATTTTTTTCTTAAAAAATAGAAGCAAAGACACAAATGAAAAATTTCAGAGAGAACAAAGGGAACGACGTTGTGGAGTTCTGTTGGTGACTCAGAATCAGCCTTTTGTTTTACCTCTCCCTGTAAACCCCTTGCCAGCACCAGGGATACTAAGCCTCTTTACTGAAGTGTACTAATCCTTTCCCTCTCCCCGGCAGTAATCACTTGTGCTCTCTCGAGGCTCACTATCAATGTCTCGTTGCTTCATCCTCAAGTTTTTGTGTCTCCACCTTTTATTACTTTCTTCTATGCTGTTTGGCCTTCTCTCTAGCACTGGCTGGAATTATCCCCAGCACTCTCTTGCTTCCTTGAGCTCCCTGAACATATGCTTACTCCACAGTCATTCTCAAAACTCTACTCTCCAAATAGTATCCTGAACTCTAGCATGCAGCTGCAGAAGCCTTAGTAGGAGATATCTGCAGTGTGCTGTTCTCATGAGGTGGATGAATTATTCCTGACATCCTGTGTCATCGAGGCCATAAGTTGTTTAACCAATCAATTATAGAGCCGCCTTGTAATTTAGTTTAGTAAATCTAAAATTGATTGTTCCTATGGACAGTTTTTTAAAATGTATCAAAGAGATTCCACAGTATCTAAATAAAAGTCCAAGTGACTGATCTGCTGTCTGAGGTAAGGACAGTCTCCTGCATTTGTGCTCCTCCCTCCTAATCAATATAGATAGTCCTTGGAGAAAACTCCCTATTGACCTAACACACCAATCATCATTGCACTCTGGTAGGTTGGCCTCTTACCTACTGATTGGTCATTGTGCTGGTTAGTTTTTGTCTGCTTTACAAAAACTAAAGTCACTTGGAAAGAGGGAACCTCTGTTGAGAAACTTTCTCCTTCATATTGACCTGTGGCCATGACTATGAGGAATTTTTTAATTTGCTAACGGATGTAAGAGAGCCCAGCCCACTGTGTACAGTGCCATCCCTGAGCAGGTGGGCTTGGGCTGAATAAGAAAGCTAGGTAAGCAAGCCGGTAAGCAGCACTCCATGGTCTGTGCTTCAGTCCCCACCTCCAGGGTCCTGCCTTGAGTTTCCACCCTGGCTTCCCTCTATGATGGATTGCAACTTGTAAGCTAAAATATGACCTTTCCTCCCTGGAGTTGCCCTTGGCCATGATGTCGATCGCAACAACAGAGAACTCAAACTAGGCTAGACCTCTTCTCCCCAGGAAGGCACGTAATGCAGCATGGCAGATCTCAGCTGTTCTTACTTGAACAAATCAAAGAGTACGCTCAGGTAT